GCGATCGCGGCTTTTTTTTTTTTTTTTTTTGCGCCGCTTGGGGTGGCAAAAACCCTGGAGCCGGCCCTGGTACAAACCCAGCCAGACCCCATGGGTATGTATTTGGGTGGTTAGCCCAAGCTGCTACCCCAGCTACACTACTATTTTTTAGCATACTAGCTCAAGCAGAGCTAACACGTCTGTCTACCTGAGCAGGGAAGCATGTTCCCAGCTGCCGTGTAGACATATCCTATGTGTAAAGAGGGTATTACAATTATTTACTTCAAAGGGGTATTGTTAGGCTTAATTAAAATATCTGCAAAGTGCTTTGAGATCCCGGGATGAAAGGTGCTGCAGAAATACGTCTAAAAATAGATTCTCGCTTTCAGACAACCAATCTTTTGCATGTCCTATTATTTGAGGGTGATTTTAGATAACATGAAAGCAATGTCTGTGTGTGTGTGTGTGTGTATAAAATCTAGGCCCGTGTTAGCTATTGTAGAAGTGGAAGTCCAGGAAGTTAACGTGGCTGCCCGCGAGAGCGTTTTCCAGGAAGTGTCATCCTTCCAGGGACCATTGGATGCCACCGTAATGGTAAATCTCCAGTCACCAACCCCTGAAGAGACAAACGAATTTCCCGAGGACTTGCGGACTGAGCTTATGCAAATATTTGAGAATTATGGCACCATTGTTCTTGTCAGGTAAATGTTGATTCCTTGACATGTGCAGTCTATTTTTTTTTTAAATCCTAATTAAAATACATTAACTGTGTGGAATAGGAATAACCATTTTAGACTGTAATGTATTGCATTCAGATTGCATTAATGGTTAGAAATTATCAGCACTTATGTTTTATTTCTCTCCATCCTACTAAAGAAATATCCTAACAGGTTCATTGGCTATGTGAGGGAGCAGTGCTCCAGGTCAGAGGCTTCGCCCTGAGTCTGCCTCCCTGGGGTCAGCTCTTCACCTTGCTCAGGCTCAGCCCTTTAATTCTCATGCATTGGGTGTTGCCTCAATTTGCAGTACTTCTAATCTGTGCCTCCCATTCCTGTGACTGAGAAAATCTGCCTTCCTTGGCAATCTTTCACACCCACTTGGATCTCCTGGGTGACTCCATCCCTTTTGGATTTTAGAGCCTCTAACCTATCCTTGGGGGCTCAGGCTTTTTTGTCATTCCTGGACCTACTGAGTGTGAGGGAGGGTGTTTGATTCTATACCCTGTTGGAGCAGTTTTGTTTCCTTCAGTTGTGTTATTTTGGGCCTCCTGGTAGCTATGGGACTTCTGTGTTGAAGAAAACGAGCACAGCTTGGCATTATCTGATTTACATTACCATGAGTGGAAGAAAACAACAGGATCAAAAGTACTTGTCCAAAGTGGGAAAAGGGCTAGCAGATCCGACTGTGCCACTGAAATGGGAGTGATGTTACACTGTTCAGCTGGGGCATACATCTTAAGTTGTGCCTGGTCACAAAATGCTGCTATCCCTGCTGCTTCCTGCTGGAATCCAACTTCTTCATGGCAGTAGTTGTGACTTGACAGCAAGACCAACAAATCAATTACAAGGCATTTGACGTACTTATTACAGGAGATTGTTTTACTAAATACTGTCAGCTTGGCTCTCTGTCTAGCCCTGCACACTACTGAGTAGGGGGTATGGGTTCAAGAGCAGCCCTAGGACCCCACCACCGCATGGTTTGTGAAGGTTTGGAGCATTGCACGGCTGCTGAGAGGAGTGTGAAAGAAATGTGCTTTGCTTTTTTCACGCCCCTTTGCAGCTTGCCCTAGGACAGAGTAGTAGCCTTTGCGGAGGTTATGTGCCCTCTGAGAGGCAGCTTTAGTGCAGAGTTCACACAGAGCAGATGAAGCTGGTACATGGAAGGGGAGAGCTGTGTTACACGGGGATGGGGAAAATACTGTGGATGAAGGAAGGTGTGTGGCATTTTCTTAACCTCTGCTCAGAGGGATGAACTGTTGCTTTGAGGACAGCCCCAGTAGCGTCCACTCTGGTGGGGCCACATGAGGGAGGACGGGTGGTGAGGGAGAGCCAGTGCTGGGATACTTGGTCCCACCTGTCACAAAAACACTTGTAAGTAATTACGCTATTGAAAGAGCTAAATGAAAAAATGCAGAATTACTATAGTCACCATTTAGTCCTACTATTTCCTTGTGGACAGCAAACTGTACAGTTGTCTGCTCTCTCTGTTCTTACTAGGATCAATCGAGGTCAGATGATGGTAACATTTGCAGACAGCAGGTCAGCTCTCAGTGTTCTGGATATGGATGGTATCAAGGTAAAACCATCTCTGGTTTATTTTAGTGAATTCACACCAAACTTTTCAAAAATGGGTGGCTTAGGTTAGATACCCAAGTCCATATCTAGGCACCTGAATCTATGGCCTGATTTTTTCAAAGAAGCTGAATACCCACAATGATCACTTCTAAGGCCTGCCCATATAAGGGAGGCAGGTATTGCTTCTTCAGGAGCTTATAAACAGAGCTCTGGAACTGGAACATTTGTAATGGTGCCAACATGTACAGTAATGCAAAATGTATCAGCAGCTAAGGTTCCACTCTGCTTTAATTTCTCACATGGATCAACAGTCATGTTTGTTTGTTTGTTTGTTTGTTTGGGGAGGCAATTTGGGGCCTGCTTTATGGTTAGGTATTGGGCTGCTAGAGCACTGGTGGGATTTTTCAAAATGCCTAAGTCAGTGGTTCTCAACCAAGGGTACGCGTACTGCTCTATATCTTATACATTAAAATGTAAGTACAATATTTATATTCCAATTGAATTATATGGTAAAAATGAGAAAGTACACAATTTTTCAGTAATAGTGTGCTGTGACACTTGTATTTTTATGTCTGATTTTATAAGCAAGTAGTTTTAAGTGAGGTGAAACTTGGGGTATGCAAGACAAATCAGACTCCTGAAAGGGATACAGTAGTCTGGAAAGGTTGAGAGCCACTGGCCTAAGTGATTTACGAGTACATATCCCATATGCTCTTAAGTCACTAAGGGATTTTTGAAAATACCACCCCTAATTATTATGATTATCATCATTTAAAAAATTATACAGCATAATTGCTGTGATATTTTACCATTTCTCTCCAGTAGCAAATGACTGTTGAGTGCAGCATTGAGTAACCAAGAACTACAAGGCTATTTTCAGTATGAAAACTTTGAAGAAAGCCACAACATAAACAAGCCCAATAAGAGCAGCAGAGTTGCTTAGTCAATACCTGGAGTATTGTTACATCCAAAGGATTAATTCTGGGTTGTTTTTTTCCCCTGATGGTACTAGGAACAGTATTTCCTTGTCATTGCATTTCTGAAATGAATCTGGTGCCATCCAGATTTCTGAAGCACTTGTGGGATGCAACATCTGCATTTACTCAGCCTGTTGGGGCACTGTTCTCATTTTCTTAACAAAGGGAAAACAATTCTTTCATGACTCTAGGTCAAGGGCAGAGCAGTGAATATCCGGCCTAAGACTAAGGATTGGCTGAAGGGCTTTCAGGAGGAAATTGCTCGAAAACGGGAGAGCATTGCACCCATGTCACCCACAGCAAACTCCTGTCTGTTGGAGGAAAACTTTGATTTTTCAAGTTTGGACTATGAATCAGAAGGTTAGTAGCACAACTCTAGGCTGAACCATGAGAATTTACTTTGTTCACTTTGGTTGTGGGGAGAGGGTAGATATCTGTATGTGATCACTATCTTAGTTTGTAATAAAACAATTCTTAGAAACAGGTTCGTAAACAGAGCCCTGATCTGGCACTGTGAACTACTCAGGTAGACCCCAGTTCTCATGCAGAGTCCCATTGACTATCAACTATCCGCACCTGCTCAGTACTAAAAAATACGCTATCACAGTCATACATAGTACATTAAAATTATCTATCAGTGTTTCTCAAACTGGGGTCCCAACCCAAAAGGGAGTCGCAAGGCTATTGTAGGGGGGTCGTGAGATCACAACAATGTCGCTAGGGGAAAGGGAAGTTGCAGGGGGTACAGTAGCTGCTGCTCTCTGGCCACCCAGTTCTGAAGGCAGCACCACCACTAGCAGCAGCACGGAAGTAAGGGTGGGAGTACCATACCATGCCACCCTTACTTCTGTGCTGCTGCTGGCGGCGGCTCTGCCTTCAGAGCTGGGCACCCGGCCAGCAGCTGCCACTCTCCGGCCACCCAGCTCTGAAGGCAGCACCACCGCCAGCAGCAGCGCAGACGTAAGGGTGGTGATACCATGAGTATGTACAGTAATTTGCTATCACTTTTGGGGGGAGGGGAGTCATCACAGCCTGAAATATTTTCAAAGGGGGGCCCAGCAAAAAACGTTTGAGAACCCCTGATCTAAATACACAGAAAAGCAATAATAAAAACACATGGAATCAACAAAAATTTTGCCTAACAAAATAATCTGTATAGAAAATGGGAATGAGAAGAGAACGTGTTTTCTGACAATGTCTGCGTTTTCAAATATTTTGTTTCAGGAGATATACTAGATGATGAGGATGATTATTTGGATGACATGCTGCCTCAGCACCCAGTAGCAGAGATGACAGAAGGCTTACCTGTGGGTCCTGAATATTTTACGGTTGCACCCACAGTAACTTCAAGCAAATCTCCACTGCTTACTGGAGGAAAGCCACATCCATATAAAGGTAAGTTACGTGGCTTCTTTAAAGCAAGACCTTAAAGCTTGTTTCCTTATGCTTTCCTTGGCTGTTTGTTGTGTTCACATGTTCTCTCTTGGCTTAGACTTAGATTATAAAATTTGCAGGACAGGGACCAGATTTTTATTCTGGTTCATAGAGTGCCTAGCACAGAGGGGCCCAGGATCCATGACTGGAGCCTCTGAATGCTACTGCCATACAAAAAATAAACAGGTAATTAAGCTTAACCCTGCCTTTACTCTGTTCTGTTCAGGGCAGGGTAGTTGTGCCTAAGAGAGGTGCATGTGTATACATATTATAAATCATAAGAAATAGCAGTAACTCTCCTTAGCTGTCTCGCATCACATAGCACCAGTGCATACAATACAGAGTTGTTCTTACTTTGTGTTCTTGTCAGTAAGGCCTCGTCCATGAAGTCAATTGAAAGACTCCCATTGACTTCAGTGGACTTTGGTTCAGGCTTTAAAACCATAGGCATTGTAGGCAGTGGAATCTGAGCTCTCCGGAAACTTGCCAGTGAATTACTTCAAACGAGTTCCTGTTCCCACCGAGACTAACGGTTTGCTTTACCCCCCTGTGCTCTGATTTTACTTATTTTTGTCAATTTTGAGGTTCGGGCACCCTCTGACTTAAATAAGGTCGCTTTGAAAAACTTGCCAGTTGCTTAAAATTACTGTACAACGTTAATCTCATTATCCACAGTGTTCCCTCTCCTTAGCATTGGGATTGCCTAAGGAATACTGCAGATACTGAGGTAACATTGTATAGTTATCTCTGCAAATGGCAAGTTACCTTAGCAGGCAACCATGCTTAATGCTACGATTTTCTCAAGGAGGTCACGGAATTCGTGACTTCTGAAGACCTCCGTGACTTTAGCCCGCAGGCGGCTGGGAGCTGCAGGGTCCCGCCGCTGGCAGGGGCAGACAGAAGCTGCAGGGTACCTCCTCCACCTAAGGCAGTGGGGCCCCCTGAGTTCCAAGGCGGTGGGGGACCCCAGAGCTACTGGCCGCTGCAGGCGGTGGGGGACCCCCGGAGCTACCAGCTGCCATGGGCGGGGGGGGACCCCGCAGTTCCACCCTGCCGTGGGCGCAGGGTGCCCCACAGCTCCTCAGCACTGCAGGCACCAGGGGGCTCTGAGCAGGCACGGGCAAGGGGGGACCCCACAGCTTCTGGCCAGTTCCCTGCCTCTGGCGGTGGGGGCCCTAGAGCTCAGAGATGCAGGGGAGAGGGATCCCGGACCTCCCAGCCAGGCCTCTGCAACTCAGGGACAGGTCACTTGCAACAAAGAAAAATTCACAGAAGCCCATGACCTGTCCCTGACTTTTACTAAAGATATCTGTGAAAAAATCTTAGCCTTAACCATGCTCCATGTCTGTTTGGTTTGTTTAAGTGATCAACTGTCTGTGTCATAAATGATGTGTAGTTTTTTCACTTATATATTTTGTTGTAATATTATTATGCAAAGAGAATGTGAAGCTGTGAAAAGAGTTACATCAGTCTCAATTACATCAAGGGTACGTCTATACTTACCTCCGGGTCCGGCGGTAAGCAATCGATCTTCTGGGATCGATCCCGGAAGTGCTCGCCGTCGACGCCGGTACTCCTGCTCCGCGAGAGGAGTACGCGGAGTCGACGGGGGAGCCTGCCTACCGCGTGTGGACCCGCGGTAAGTTCGAACTAAGGTACTTCGACTTCAGCTACGTTATTAACGTAGCTGAAGTTGCGTATCTTAGTTCGAAGTGGGGGGTTAGTGTGGACCAGGCCCTAGACTCGCTTGCAGTCATATCATTGTGGGTTGCAAGCTGGTCTGGCTTTAGCAGCTAAGCACAGTCAGAGTGGACCAGAAGTTGGAAGGGAGATCTCCATGGAACAGCTCAGAGCAGCAGTCAGTGGTTCATTAGCTGGCCTTCTTCTCTTATAATCATTACTGAAACAATGCTCAGCATGGCATTATGCTGGGAGAGGTAGCAACTTCCCAATGAGCTGTAAAGTTGAGGTCCTGGTTATCTAATGATAACATGATATTTTTTTACACTAGCGTCGTTAACTGCAGTATCCTGCCCCGTTCCAACTTAGCTTTAGTTAGGCAGCTTGTAATTACCCATCTCTTACTACCAGTTCAAACTAGATGCAGTATTCTTCACTTCTTGTCCTAAACTGATGTGTAGTAATGGTGTGTGTTGTTAAAACAGTTGTACATTCCGCCCAAGATATTCACAAAACCAGCATTTAAATTTTTTATTAAATAAAACTACCTTAAATGTGTTGCATACATAAGAAAAAAAAGTTTATCAAACCACGTTTTAAGAGTAACTGATTTATGAAACAAAGCAAGTATTATCTGTAGTTAATGAACTGAACTGATTGTGTCTGGTCACCATGTTCTTCTAGATATTAGAACTAGTAGAACTCATCCACTCACACCTAGTTTTTATTTATAGATTGGAAGAGAAAAACAAGGTTTCCTGCTTTTTCAGTTGCAATGGCAGAGGACAGCTTACTGGAAAATAACAGAAGAGTGCTTAGAAATACCTAAAGTGTGATAGTACAGGTTAAAGTGGGAGAGGGATGTGAATGGGGCACTAAACTTGAGCCATTTCTTAAAAAGCTATCAGCCATATACTGTTGCTCACACCTAGAAATTTCTCAGGCTGTCTCTACCCTATGCACCTTTTAGCGACACATCTGTGCCGCTACAGCCGTGCCACTAAAAGGTGCGCAGTTTAGCTGCTCTTTGTTGGCAGGAGAGAGCTCTCCCGCTAACAAAGCACTGTCCACACCAGCGCTTTTCATTGGTAAAACTTTTGTCGTGTCAGAGGTGTGAAAAAAAACACCCCCCAAATGACAAAAGTTTTACCGACGAAAGTGCAGTGTAGACAAAGCCTCAGTTAACCAGCTCTTGTTTTCAAATCACAGGTGCCTGTCTCGTGACACTCCAGTCTTGATCCATCTCTGCCATAATTCTCAAATGCAAAACTCTTCTGTTTGTTTTTTCCCTGAAATCTCCCCCTAGATGATGCTGACCTAGCTGAATTAAAGCGGGAGCTGGAAGTAGGTGGGGGGCTTCGCCATCGGTCTCCAAGCAGATCTCTGTCTGTTCCTGACAGGCCTCGCCCGCCTCAGCCACCCCAGAGACCTCCCCCTCCAGGTAAGATTGCAGTTTCTTTTAAAAAGTTTTCCCATGTCAGCTGGACTCCATTGCCACCCTATTGTTTCTAGTAAGAATGAACAGGTAAATACCTCCGCCTGTTTAAATCCCCATCACCTGCTGTTTGTCAGGCACTTTTTCCCCTAAACTCTTGTGGTGTTAAACAACTGCTGAGTTTCACTCTAGCGGTGGCTGCATTTCAGTGATGGGTGAAGTGGTTCTTTGAAATAGTTTGGGATGAAAGATACTCTAGAAATGAAAGTCCTTTCTTCACTTTAGTGGAGTTATAATGGTTCGTGTGTGTTTCACATACACCCAACAGCAAAGGGGGAGAATTTGCAAATAACTGGTGCTTTGGTACAGTAACAGACATCAGTGTTCATTCTCATTGAGTCTTTTCTTTTTAATACTCAAAGCATTTTCTTACAGTTTTTTGTTTATTCAGTTTAATTTTTGATGCAATATTCCCTTTAAAAGCTTAAACAAAATATTTGTTGGTCTGATTTTTGTCCCTTCCCATTAGACAGTTACCTCACATAGAGCTGAGGATAACAGAGCTGTTTTTCTTCATTTGATGGGTAGTTTGACCTCCGCCATGGCATAGATTTCTGAAGGGGAAGTGATGGTGTTCAAAGCTCTACTCACTTAGATGCCAAAATGAGAGGCCAGTCATGTCAGATTGTTGAGATTCACCCATAGACTCTAAGATGAGAAGGGGCCATTATGATCTTCTGGTCCGAATTCCTGCATAAATCACAGGCATTAGACTTTCATGCAGCACATAATTTCTAGTTGCACTCTAGAGCATCTCTTTTAGAAATACATTCAGTTCTTCAGCATTGTCCTTCCTTTCTTATGTGCTTTGATCAGAAATGAATAGTTAACAATATTGCCATTGAAATAGTCAGAGCTGGGCTGCAGTATTAATGCCCAATTGAGATTATTATTATTATTATTATTAACAAACACTGCACAGGCTCTTGCATTTGAAAACTCATTCTTATTCCCCTTGCAGCTGGAGTATCTGTCAAAAAATCTCCATCCGATGGTTCCATCTCCTCAGGAGGCCACTCCCTGTGCTCCATCCTGCAGACTGCAAAGCTTCTCCCAGGGGCGCCTCAGCAACCAGTGAGTCCCTCAGCACCATTGTGCCACACAATTCACTAAAAAGGGGACCAGGTGCTACTAGAGTCTGAACCCACCAGCCAGCTGATGTGATTTAAGTCAGGAGTGCTGAGCAAAGCAGTAAGGATACATTCACCCTGTAATTACCCAGCATCAGTAACTGTTGGGCATAATCAGAGCAGAGTATGTGTTATATACACTTGCCTAGGTACATATAGACACAGGCAGACTTACTTTAATAAATAATGGCCACCTCACAACTTGAAAATGAATAAACTACAGCTATTTAACCAATTTCCCCTTTAAACTTGTCAGCTTTGCCTGCCTGCTACATTCTAGATTTAGTTACTTTAGCTATCTGCCAGTGGCTCTTTTTCAATGCCAAATACCAATATTCAGCATCCGCTAGACCAGTGTTTCTCAATGACCGGTCCATGGACAGGTGCCGGTCCCTGAGATTTCCCTGACACAGTTTAAGAAGGCAGCCAGCTGGTCACTGGTATTAGAAAGGTTAAAAAAGACTGCTCTAGACAGGCCCCAGGATCCATCTCAATCAGCCTGTAGAGTGGCCACGCCATAGCTCCTGGTGTCCTTCCCCCATTTCCAGAGGGAGTATTATCTGCATAAAGCTCCCAAGCCTTACAGGCAGGGATTCTGCACAGGAGTGAGCTGGAACTACAGAGTTGAAACAACCATGCTCTAGTATTTGGCTATAGGGCCAGCAGGCCCGCAATCATTTGATACTAAGGGCAGGTCTACACTGGAAGCGCTACCTCAGCACCACTGTACCGCGTCTGGTGAAGACGCGCTATGCCAATGGGAGAGCTCTCTTCCATCAGCATAATTACTCCACCTCCGCGAGAGGCGGAAGCTGTGTCGGCCGGAGAGCGTCTCCTGCCGACATAGCTTGGTGTGGACAGCACTCAGGTTGCTGTAACTTGCGTCGCTCGGGGGGGAGGGGGAGTGTCTTTTTCACACCCCTAAGTGGCATAAGTTTGATCGATTTAAGCAGTAGTGTAGACCTGCCCTAAGGCTATGTCTACATTTGAACTGCTACAGTGGCTGTAGTGCTTCAGTGTAGCCACTCTCTGCAGCGACAGGAGGGGCTCCATTGACGTAGCATTGTCTACACTAGGAGTTAGGTCGGCTTAACTGTGCCACTCAGAGCTGTGGGTATTTCACACCCCTGAGCGAGGAAGCTGGGTCAACCCAGCTTTTTGGTGTAGGCCTGACCTACGATTGAGGTGGTTGAAGGATGGAGGAGGCTGCGCAATCGTGGCAAAACTAAGACAACAGAGGTACGTTAGGTTACTTTGCTATCCCACATTCGAGCACAATGATGCTGTTCTGTGATCCTGTGTCAGCCACTGCTTTGATGGTCTCTGTCCAGTGCCCAGTGTATACATAAAGTGAAGTGCACATGAGAAACCACCACAACCATAGCTCGCACCCTCAATGGAGAGGCCCAGAGCTAAATGGACCTGAGGATTAGACTCTCCTTCCTCATACAGAGGACCCCCTTCCTAGTCAAGAGGAGGCACATTAGTGGGACCCTGTGGGGATCTTTGCAGTGCTGTTCCCTGTGCTGTACCTTCAGACTTGGCTCAGAGCTGTGACTGGGGGCACCTTTTATGGACAGTAAATTTACACACAAATGCTGTGAAAATATTTCCCTCTCCCCCCGTCAGACAAGAGACTGGTAATGAGATCAATCGTGGCAGCTACAGCCAGTAGCAAAGATCTAACAGCTGCCCAAGAAAAATTAAAATAAAGCCATTTTGAAATATTAGTAGATTGTGAAATGCCAGCCAGTGCAGTTTTGTGGAGACAGGTGCATGAATCACTGGAAGTGATTCCACCTGTACAGTGTACAGCCTGCAGGTTAAAGGGTTGTACAGGAAAAGCATTTTCCTTCAGAATTACTCACTCACCTACTCGTTTCCTCCTTTTATTGTTGTAAGCCTAAAGCCCGGACTGGAATAAGTAAGCCTTATAACGTCAAGCAGATCAAAACCACCACAGCTCAGGAAGCGGAGGAAGCTATTAGATGTCTGATGGAAGCAAAAGGAGGTAAGCAGAGCTTTCCAATGGAGTTTTAAAATCTCCAAATAAAGAAAATGTAGGTTCATTTCATCCTCCCTGACCATAACCTAAATAAGACATGTTTCAGAGTAGCAGCCGTGTTAGTCTGTATCCGCAAAAAGAACAGGAGTACTTGTGGCACCTTAGAGACTAACAAATTTATTAGAGCATAAGCTTTCATTGCATCCGAAGAAGTGGGTTGTAGCCCACGAAAGCTTATGCTCTAATAAATTTGTTAGTCTCTATGGTGCCACAAGTACTCCTGTTCTTTTTGCTAAATAAGACATGTATTTCCTTTAAAACACTCATATTAAACTTAATACTGCCTTGTGGGGTCCTGCAAGATTTTTCTTTGAAAGTTTTCTGTCAGCTTGGATGCCATTAGCCTTTTTATTTCAAGATTACTTAATTTCTGTCTTTTAAAAGGACCCCATGAAATTAAGTCATATTTTAAAATATGTTCTTGCAGTTCCTGTTACTAAAAACATCATAGATTATGGTACTCAGCTGTACTCTGAGAAAGACGGATGTCACCTTCCTTCTCAACAGATCTGTTCCCTTTGTGACTCCAGAGGGGTAGCTGCTTGCTTTCGTAACAACAGTGCTCACTTCCCCAGCTAGCAGGGCAGAGCCTACACAGCAACAGTAGAGAGAGCTGGATTCTATTCAGGCTCACACATCAGCCACAGAATTGTTAACTAAATTGCAAATGCAGAGTCGTTAGTGTGGGTGAAGCATAAACCAGAAACAATTCAGCTTTACTCTCACATCCCAGCCTGAGTTTATATGGCTGGCAATTAGAAAAAAAAAGTCTTTTCATTTATAAAACTGAGCAAATGTAATCTGGAATCATTAAGAGAGAATAACCCTGGAATACCACAATGCCATTTTTATATTTGCTCTTCAGAGCACGTTTGCACATTAAAGGAGAAAGAATGGGTGAAATCAGGTTTACTTTGCACTAGTTTATTACTGTTTACTTTTTATATTTCACTTGGCTTAGCTAAGAAAACTAGGCTGGTCAGTTTCATTTTAGGATTCTCATGCTCTAGTACCACCTAGCTCTTCTACAGCACTTTTCATCCCTAGAACCCAAAGTGCTTTACAAAGGAGATCAGTATCATTATCCCTATTTTACATATGGGGAAACTGAGGCACAGAGAGGTTAAAGTGGCATGCCAAGGTCATCCAGCTGGCCAGTGGCAGAGTCTGGAATTTAACCTCTCTCTCCTGAGTCCCCACCATTGACCTATCAACTAGGTCACACACACTAGCACAATGCTGCTGGGTTGGGTTAGAAGTACTGCTGGCAAGGAGTATAACAAATATGCAATGACTAGTTTTCATAAAATTAAAGAAATTCTAATGATACGTTTTTGGTGAAATTCTGTATTTATTTCCAAAACCTTCATCTTCAGCCTGAACACTGTCCCCGTAAGGAAACGGGCAAAAGCATTTTGGAAAACAAGACCACGAAGGAAACAGATCTTTGAGGACGCTTCAGACAGATTCAAACAATGGTTGTTTTTGCATTTCAGGAACACAAGAGGATGCTCTGAAGCCTGCTCCAGTAAGAACCCAAACATTCACTCAGCCTGACTCCTTTCCCAGCATCACAAAGTCAGCATCATTTCAGGGGCCACAACCAGGACCAATGCTCCTGCCCCATCGCCCTCCACCCAAAGTTCCGACCGTAAAGAAGCCAGTGCCCCTGCAAAGAACTGGAGTCAAATCAGAAAATGTAAGATAGCCACAGCAGAACACATCCAGCTATTCATTTTGCATAGTGTGTTTTAGCAGAAGGGGCAAGTGGTTAAACACTTCACATGAAATTCTGTCATCTGGCTCAAGCATCTGTTTGAGCTCTTCTGTCCCAGAAGTATCATTGTATATGGCAGTCACTGGGGCCTGTATGCACAGTAAATGAACATCAAGTAGAGGAAATCATTATCCCCCATTTTGACAAAGTTATCACTAAACTTAGCTATCGGCATTCAGCTCTTTAACTTCTCTCTGTGATGATCCATCCTCCTAGTGTTTTTTGCCCTTCTCTGAACTCCTAGCTTGGCTACACCTTTCTGAATTGTCTAGAACTGAACACAGAATTCCAGATATTATCTCACCAAATCTGCATCTCCTCCCTGACTTACCTCTTATGCATCCTAAACTTGAGATAATTCATTGTGAACTTGGATCTGGTTTGATGACTACTCTCAACCCGACGTTTCTTTCTGCATTGTTGCTCTACTGATCACACTACATCACGACAGTGTAGGTTTCCTTCAGTAAGATCAGAAGGAAATAGTCTGCTAAAATGCTGAGAATTAGCCTCTTGGGCTAATGCAGAAATCCAATTTTAATTGTTCTTACCTCCTTCAAAAGCCCTTAGTTCAAACTGAAGTCAAAGTTGATTGGAAATTGTTTTTTAGATTTTTTTTAAAAATATTTACTTAGGACAACATTTGTTGCTTTTTTAAAGGAAAAAAAACAAAATCCCCAAAGTCCATACAACCAATTTTGTTCATATCTGCTAACAATTGTCTCTTCTGAACCGAGAATCTGCAGGTCAGGCTTTGAACCAAAAATAATGAATGTATGAAGTTATAAATCACAAAGTTGGTTCAATAGAGTCACCAGGGCTCTTGGTGCCAACTACACTACTCCAGGATGTGCCATTTAAACAGCACTTATTAATACTAACAAAACGTAGCCAAAAACTCACAGGAGCAGTGACCTGCCACAAACAATAAAGAGTAAAACAGGGTCTCCAGGGAGGCAGGAGCCCAGTGGTTAGAGTTCTAGCCAGACACTTGGCTCTGCCACAGCCTCTGCGTGACCTTGGGCAAGTCGCATAGCCTCAGTTCCCCATCTGTCAAATGGGGATAGTAGTGCTTGCCTACCTCACAGCAGTGTTGTGAGGATAAATACATTAAAGATTGTGATGCTCATATAGTACAGTACAGTAATGGAGGCTATATAAGTACCATAGATATGCCCCTTCATATTCTTCCTCTGTGACAGCCTTTGCTAGACAGCTCTTCTCTTGAGGTTAGTCTTTAGGTCTCCATCCTACCTCACTCTGAAAGGGCACTTACTGTATCCCCTAAGGCCGTTTCCACAGCCTTCCATTGAGCAGAACCACAAAGGAAAAAGAAAGGTAGAGAAGTAAACCAAAAACAGCCCCACTCCTTCACAGACATACTTATCACAAGTATATTATAAAGAGCAGTCTATTTCCCTATATTTAACTCACTCCCATCATCCATGTACTCCTGAAAGATCTCAAAATAGAAAGGCTGCTGTTATTTAACAGTATATGATATGAAAGTTCCTATACGAGTTTGTCCACAGCAGACTCAGAGTATCAGCCTGCACTAGAGGGGTGTAGATTCTAGCGCACATTAGCATATTGTACACTAATTGGCCTGGGTGACCTAGCTAGCGCACAGTAGAATTTCCCTAGTGAGTACTGATATAATACTGTTTGAAATGGGACAACATTAACACACACTGGGGAACTTCTAGTGCGCACCAGCAGAGTCCATACGGGCCAGTTACTGCACAACAACCTACTGTGCATTAAAATGTACACCCTTCTGGTGCAGACTAATGTAGGATGTAGACAAGTCCTAAAGTGATGTTTTCCCCCTATCTGGAAATGAGTTTAGAAGTGAGCTCAGTACCTCAAAAAAACCCTTCCACCTCTTCCTCCCCACTCCCCGCCCTCCCCCCCCCCCGAAAGCATTTAGTAAAGTACAGGAGATTTAACAACATAGATCTCTAGACATAAATGAAAGGGGGATTGCCCTGTATTCAGTGTAAGATGCATTTTCTGAGCACATAAAAAGACTGGGTTGGTACCCTATTGTACTAAGGGAGACTAGTCAGGCGTTCATGTGGTTTCGCTCAGAAGTATTGAGAATAGGAGATCGAGAATAAGAGTTACATCGAGCTAATTAGCTAGCACTAATTTAACCTGGGCCCAAAATACATTAAACTATGGGCTGCTCGAACAAGTGTGCCTGGTTAGTGATTTTGGCCCTGCAGTTTAAGCATACTGGGCAAAAATCCAACAGGAATGACCTTTTCCTTCCCTTAACAGGGAGGGAGGGATCCATATGGCAAGGACTTTATCATGGCAGGGATGGTGACCGCCATGGCCCTAGTAACGTGACAATACCTTTAAAAACAAATGCAATTTCACATTTTTTCCTGATTAACCCTTTCTGCTTAGAGAAGGTTTTTTTAAGTGGAATATAAGGCATTAAGGAAGAATGCAAAATTCCACATTATGATTCAAACCCTGGCCTCAGTAAGACACGAATGCACTTCCTGGGGTAGCTGAAGCTAATTGTCCTTTAGCCTCATGTATCACAAGGTGCCCAAGGCTAATGTGCCATTAATACAATCCCTGTCATCCCTTATCATTTCAGTATTATTACAGCAGCAGGAAAATGTAACAGTAAAAGAACTCCTCAGAATTGTGGTGGCTGGACATTTGGCCCCACGCATAATTCTAATGTGGAAAAGAAAATGGTCACAAAGGGATGTGTTTTTAACACACGGAGTGAAGAGCAGGGTTGCTTTAAAGCTGTTACTCTCATGCCTTCACTTTCCACTTCCTCATCTCTCTCAAACAATTCCACCAACTTCTTTCAATAATGCACTCAACTCTACTCACATCCTCTTTATCCCACCTATTGTTTGAGCGTTTTCTCATCTGGATGGGCAGAGCTAGTGCTGCGACCGAGTGTGAATCGAAAATGCCGCTCTGACTCGTATTTCTTTTGTTCCCCTCTCTCAGTCTCTGTGTCCGGAAGAGCAGCTTGACCAGCAGCCCGTCCGCTTTCACATTGGAGTGTCCGAGTCCTGCCTTGAAACCAAAGCCATTACCAGTCCCACTAGGATCACCCCAGTTCCTAAGCCGAGAACAGCGCCACCTGGGAAAGCTCCGGAGAGAAGAAGCAGCAGCGACAGGCAGCCTCCCAGCCCAGGCACTTCAGAGGAAAGTGCGCTGCCTCTGCAGAACTCCTTTGCCCCAAAGGTTCCACCACGAAGGAAGAAGTCTGCTCCTGCTGCCCTTCACCAACAGGTGCTTCAGAACAATAACAGTCTGCTTCTTAGTGGCTTAACATTCAATTTCAACAACAACAATAGTCCTGAGTACAGCCCTCCAATACAGGACTCTGACATCCTCCCCCTTTCTCACAGAGACTCTGATCTTTCAGCTCCCACATCCACTGCCAGCCCAGACAACAGTGGCACTAAGCACTTGACACCAACTGCTTTGGACTTTATTGCTGACCTTCAAGGCCCTCCTACCCCAGACATCCAGCAGCCACAGCTGTTAGACACCAATTCACTAACAGAGAGCACAAATCTCTTGGACCTGGACACAGATGTTTCCTTTCCTTTTTCCACACCAGCAACAACTAGCCCAACACACACTCGGAGAGATTTGAAACTCCCCAGCCCAAAAGAGTTCAGTCACTGGGTTACATTTAGTGATGATGAAGACAATGGTACATTATCAGAGGGAGTCAGCAAACTGCTGGTCTTAGAGCAAAACAAAAATACCTGGATGGACACAAATGCTAACTTAGAGTTGTGAGATTTTTTTTCCCTACAGAAATCTAATTATGATACAAGATAAAAATCTGCTTTGAATACAGAGTTGTACTAAGTCTGGCAAGGCCACATTTTATTTTTGTGTTTAAAAAAATAGTAGTATGATCTGGGGGGGAAATACAAGACGTCAGGCAATACTGTACAACTTGCAAAAAAATCTTTAGTCTAAATTATTTCCCTTTTTCTAATCCAACTGAAAAGGAAAGTGACAGTTCAGGTACAAAGTATTTTTTTAAAAGTCTGTAATGATGTATGAAGACAACAAGAAAAAAGTTTATAGGTATAATTTATATTTCAGATAATTTCTAACACTTAAAACAAAGACTTGTCTACATGGTAAAATTTACCAGCAGAACTACAGCAGTATAATTATACTACTACACTAATTCGGAGAGAATAGTGTCCCCAGGGGGAATTATCTTGGAATAACTTTAGCAATATAATTACACCACTATAATTCTGATGGTAAATATGCTGTAGACAAGTCCTATGCTGCATCTCTTTCATGTGATTTACAACTAGCTGCAGGTTCTGTACTCTCCTAGTATTAGCCTGCTGGCTAAATTCCTCAATCCTTGGCCATTATTGTTAAGTAAGAGGGGTGGAGGATGTTATGGATTAGGTGCTCTCTATTTTGATGAACATGCTTGTTTTTAATCTCAACCTTGCAAATGCACACAGATATGATGGGCTCCTTATCAGCGTGTGTGATACTAATAATGATACACTTATGAAAATTATTCTAGAAGCTTATGTTTTCTTTCAATGCCTCCTCTCCTCTACGTTCAGATTTAACTGATTCTGTTCAATGCAACCTAATGCTAAATGACTTGCTATCCAGTGAAAAGGCACATGGACAATGACTGTCTATAACTTTGGAAGGGACTGTGCAAGCAACCTGCTAGTAAACATTCCAATGGTCTGTGAACTGTATGTATAGTCACTGATAGACTCCTGTGGAAGTACACTAGATGTTTGACCACTACGCCTACCTTTGCGCCCCTCTGTTTCTTTGCAAGGAAATAACATGTTCATGCTTAGCTACTAATGAAATAATAAATGAGGATGAGCAAAGGGCTGTCTGTATGTTTACGTGAGTGCTACACTGGTCCGGCAGTATTCAGCATGAGCAAGAGTAGCAGAATCTAGCCCTAGAGTGGAAAGGTGATTTACTAATTTCTACCCACTGATGGTAAAGGTGTGTGCTGTCCCCTGGAGAGCGTACAGGTGCACCTTCCTTATTCACCTGTGCTGAACACTTGTACTCAATTTAGCAGGTGTAAGGCAATTAAAGCACTATCTGCCATTTGGAAATGAACCTTTAGCACCTACATCAGGGACAGGCACATCTGAGAAACTATGTGATAGCACCATTTGTCAAGAATTATATTCCATTAAGAAAATGGTAAAGGGAGACGGTTAACTTTTTATTTAAGGGAACTACTAAAGGGGAAGTAAGAGGAAACCAGAAAATAAGGCTAGGAGCAAACTTGGAAGTGGAATGTTCTATGCAGACTTGTCTCCTCAGATAATGTCAGATTACTGAGGCAATGAGTAGAATTAAAGGACATTGAGATTTCAGTGGGAGGTGGAAGACAGGGGTAGCAAAAATACCTTTAAGAAAACACTACTACTTATATGCAACTGTTTTGTAAAAGAAAGGCTGTAAAACTAACTAATTCCAAGAGCATGAAAGAGTTTTGTCAAACTAAATACAGAATTCGCCGTGGTCCTCTGCTTGTTAGGATCAACTCTGAAGGAAAATACTGATAGGACAGTGATGGGTGCTGTGTAACAGCACAGACCAGTATCAGTGGGTTGCAGCTATACCAACAGTGCATCTGAGATTAGGGTAACTAAAATGTATAGAATAAGCTAAAGCTGAGTGTAAGTCTTTGCAAACACTTAGAAGGTTTAATGCCTAAAGATACAATATCATGGTCCATGTTTCAGAAATAATAGTCTGGGGAAAGTATCTTGAACAGGGACCTTCCCTAGATACTCTTCAAACAAATACAACAAGGAGTCTGGTAGCACCTTAAAGACTAACAGATTTATTTGGGCATAAGCTTTCGTGGGTAAAAACCTCACTTCTTCAGATGAGTGAGGTTTTTACCCACGAAAGCTTATGCCCAAATAAATCTGTTAGTCTTTAAGGTGCCACCAGACTCCTTGTTGTTTTTGTAGATACAGACTAACACGGCTACCCCCTGATACTTCAAACAAATAGTCCTGCAACTGCTGCTTTACTTTCCACCTTATATTTACCTAGCGCTCTGGTAGGGCATCATAAGCTACAGGGCCAGTGTTTCTAGTGGAACTGTAGTGCAGTTAACATGCAATTCTCACAAAATGCTACAGCTGATGTCAAGTTAGAACAGGCCATCATAGCAAAGTCACCTCTGCATTTGCTAACCACTTTGGCGTTTATGCTTTTCAAATGCCCAAGATTTAGCTAAAGGGAAGATAGCCTGGATTTCTAATGAGGCCTGTTAGTGTGCGCTAGCTACACATTACCTGTGGTAAATTTGTGAAGCATTTACATTGTCTGTGGAAAGCAGGCAATTAAAAGTTACTACACGCGTGTTTCAGTTCAGGCACAATCACTTATAAATGGAATGAAGCCCCTTTTTGGATAGAGAATTACTAAAATGATGCGAACATTTTTAAGCAATTGGTAAAGGTGAAAATCCAGGGTCTTGTATTTAAACTAGACTTTTTTTGTGCTGAGGTTGTAAATAATGTCAATTAAACGCCTTTTCTACAAATCTTAAATTGGTTTAATTCTCTTCTCACTTGCCTAGGTAATTTGGGACGTCAGCCAGTTCAGTTCTGTTACTATCCAGCCTTGCTGAAGCCGCCTTATCTCTACTGCTGAACTCTAACCAAAAAAAGACATTCTGTATACAAGCAATGCTGCCTTTATAGCTAAGCTCTTCGCTGTCCCACTCCATGCACATTTCCTTAGTAGTAAAGAGGCTAGAGATAGTTTTAAAGTGTTCAGTTCCACAAAGGTGAGCCACTCTGAAGGGGCTGGCTACTTAGTTCCCTGGTTCATCACAACCTCCTGGCCTCCTTTTAAAAAAAAAAAAAAAAAAGGGGGGGGGGGCAACAGTGGCTATTTATGGATACATTTCAGCATAAATCATTAAGGGCTATAAAAAATAAAATATGTTTAGTACCGTATCCAACATTCTGTGCAACAAAGATAATTTAACAGCCCTGGGACAGCTAATTTACGTTGATGAAAGAGTTAGCAGGAAAGCCAATTAAAGTGGATTTATACATGTCAACTACAACTTGTTTAATTACTCCACTTTTCTAAGTGGCCTTCAGCACTAACTATATCTTTTGTCTGTGTAAGCAAGTGGTGACCCACACGTTAAAATTAGAATCCCTCCAGCAAGCAGGCTTCATACAATCAGCGACTGCATATACCATTCTATCAAAACAAATCAAGGAGAAGGAACAGGTTGATTGAAAAGGTGGATGATGAACTTGACATGGCAACTAACCTGGTTCTCAGATGATCCCCGAACAAGCCAATCTTTGAGGTAAGGGAAAACCTGGCTGCCACCACTGCCACTCATTTAGTGAGCACATGAGGAGCTGCTGAGTGGCCAGAGGAGAACCGTATACTAATAATGGCAGCCCGCTATGACAAAACTGAGGAATTTCCTACTACTGAATCATTCAGAGAGGGCAAGGACAGAACTGCTGGAGCCAATGGCATCTCTTCAAGGAGAGGCGGATCCTCTGGCAAACGCTGCTCCAGTAGAGGTGGCACGAGAGGACAGATGCCCTTCAGCATCTGTAACAGAAGCTAGTCTTAAGGCTGATCCATCTAGATCTCCCCTTGGACAGGGTTCGGGATTCGAAGGCCAGAAGGGACCACTGTGACCATCTAAGTCTGATCTCTTGCATAACACAGGACTTCCCTGAATTAATGCCTGTTTGAATTAGAGCACATCTTTTGGAAAAAATAAACATCTAGTATTGATTTAAAGATTTCCAGTGATGGAAAATCAACCACACCCCTTGGGAAATTAGTCGAATGGATAATCACCCTCACTGTTAAAAACTTCAAGTCTGAATTTGCCTAACTTCAACTTCCAATTATTGTTATACCTTAGTCTGCTTAATCAAAGAGCTCTCTATCATCAAATTTCTGCTTCCTATGTGGGTACTTAGACTGTAGTCATCTCTTAACTTTTTCTTTGATAAGCTAGAGTGAACTCTTTCAGTCTTTCACTACAAGGCGTGTTTTCCAATCCTTTAATCATTTATAGCTTCCAGGGCCAGAAGAGACCACTGTGATCATCTAGTTTGACCTCCTGCATAGCACAGAACATCTTCAAAATATTTCCTAGAGCAGATCTTTTAGAAAAACAACCAAGCTTGGTTTAAAAATGGTCAGCGATGGAGAATGCACCATGATCCTTGGTCAGTTGTTCCAATGGTAAATTGTTCACTGTTAAACATTTTACACCTTATTTGCAGTCTGAAGTCATCCAGCTTCAATGTTCAGCTTTTGGATCATGTTATACTGTTCTCTTGTAGTCTGAAGAGCCCATTATTAAATATTTGTTCCTCCATATTTATAGACACCCCAAGGTCTATGCAAGTGGGATGCATCCTACATGTACTGGCTGGCCATTGCAAGAAAGAATCATAGGAGGTCAATACAATGCAGGCCAAGATGACCTGTCCTTGCTGTATGTGAGACTGTGATCTTGGTGCTGATACTTTCTCTCTGCTGGGCATTTAGAGGAGTTACAGGACTTCTTTTGCCAAGGTGGACATGGGCTGGAAGGCTTCTTATTGGACTCGGAGGAAACCTCTGAACAGTCCATGGGAATTGGTAGTGTCCACTCCGGTGCGGCTAGGGAATAGCCCTATTTATCCACAGTTGAATGGGAGAAGAGCAAAGTTGATACCGAGGTTAGGACCATCATTAGTACTGAAAAAGCCTCCCAAGAAGTAGAGGGCCTCACCAAGGGGGCCAGTACTGGGAAATCTTCCATTATTGGTGCCAAAGAGCACAACAGAATTGGTGTGGACTCCAAGGGGTACCTGAGTTCCGAAGTCTCGGGTGCCAAAGTCAGGGATGTAGACAGTGCTGAGGACAAGGGGCATATTGGTACTGGCTCTACAGGCAACTGCACCAAGGAAGGAGCATCCTTTTTCATTGGTACCAAGGCCATTGATGGTAGCAACCTCAGCCCCAAAGCTGTAGAAGTCAAGAGGCCTGGAAGAGCCCACAGTGCCAATAGTGTGCCCACCTCTCAAGTTGGGTAAGTAATTGTGAAATTCTTAACTAAATGTAAAGAAGAATCATAATGGCATAAAACAAATAATTCCATCTAAACTAGATAAAAAACCCAAGTTGATTCCTCAGAATGTGATCTGGAAACATGTTTAAAGGCTCATCTAAGGAAAGATTCGCTCCAAACTTGCATCAAAATGAAGAATTTTTGTAGAAGGAAGAGGAATCATCAGATAGTCAGCAAGTGGTTAACAGTATTTGCTAACTATCCACAGATCTGCAGCTACATTACCATCAGTTGGAAAGTGTAGTAGGTTTGTTGGGTAAAGGACACAGGTGCAGTGAGTCCTGCTGAAAACTATGGTCACTATTTTGGATTGGCATGCAATATGGTAATATCAATACATTCCATTTAGCAGATTATTCAAGTTTAATATATTTTTTCAAGAGATATAGTACAAATTTTTTTTAAAAAACATATTTCATTACTATCTCCCAAACACAGTTACTGTATAACCCACATATTAATTTAAAGTTACACATTAATACATTTGTTAGTTGCAAAATATTGAAATTTGCTTCAAGAATTCCAGTTACTGTAGCTCAGACAGACAGATTTATTGTACAAGGCATTACAAAAGACTCTGGTTGATCTGACTCCCTGTTAGCCAAAAAATGTCTTTTTACTCAAAAATGGTTCGCATCACCCTATTTGCATGTTTTACAATGCAAAGTTCTCAGCTTATCCAAAACCCTGTGTATCCCGATAAATTCCATACATCCTATTCCACCCAGTCCCAAACTATATTTTCAGTCTGAAATAGTGGCAGCCAAAATTCTTACATGTGGTTTGATCCAAAAGAAAGCATGCCTGGCCTTCAGTACTGCTCTGGGTTCTGTATTTCCCAGCACTGGTCATCCTACATGAGAGTGTTCTAGGGTTGGACTAGTAGGGGTGGACTCAGTATTCTAAACCACCACCAATACACTCATACTAATACAAGCTACTATGGGACTTCTGAGCTTCATATCATCTTACTGTGCTTTTTACCATCATCGTTGTACAATCATATTAAAGAAGTCCTGAAACAGTTTCCAGTGGTTCCCCTATCATCATCAACAAAGGCCTTAGTTGATAAATGGCTAGCTAGGAAAATCCAGGACTATTACGGTGATTTGCTCGGGTGACAGTGAAGGCCAGACAGTCTATCAGGGATTCTGTGGCTGTGGTCTTCAACATTTCTTGGCCACTAGATCAGTATTAGTCCTTTGCTAAATCAAGCCCATAACTAAGCTGCTCTTAATTAGGTTTGGAATCATTTAAGGCTTTAAGAAAGGTGGCTGAACACTGCTACCCTTGTTCTACAAAATAGTTCTCTCTCATCGATGCTGTTAACCAGATCATCCTGGGCTTTAGCAAAAATAATAATAATAATAATAAAAAATACAGTGAAATTGGCCACATAATTATTTAAGAAACTGTTGCTGTTTTTCCTCCATGTACAGCAATAAGTTAGTTGAGGCCCCCACAAATATAAAATGCTCTGATGGAGCCCTGGGAACTCCTTTATGTTTTCTGCCTTAGCCTCCTGCCCCCTCCCCTGCAAATTCCAAAGCCTCATATCATAGCTACCATCTTTCTTGTGAAGGACTACACAAGTTTCCCTCTATTTGAGCCTCATCAACATCATTCTTAAATCAGCTGAGAGCTTCCTATTGGGCAACAGGCGCCACTCCAGCCAAGAGTTAAGTGTGTTGCCTTTTCAGCACTCCCA